TGGACTCATACTATGTGATTTTTTTAAGATTGGCAATTTTCACTAAGCATGATGCCCTTGAGATCCACGTGAGTGGTTTTGTGTATCAGTATTTCATTCTTTCTTTTGCTGAGCAGAATTTCCACGCGCACGACTTTTCACCTTTTCTCCTCCACCGGAAGCAATCCATTCCTCCTATTCAATCACTTTTTCTCTCCTTTGAAATCAACACTCCCAACTTCTTTCCATGGAAGTACCTCTGATTAACCCCACCTGGCCTCAGTCACGCCTTTACCTTCAGTCCTTGTCCAAAGCTGTCCCAGATCCTGAGGTAGAGCTGGGTTTGGGAAACTCAGCCCAGAAGTCGGTTCTGCTTTATGAGGCATCAACAGATGAAGGAGGATTGCAACGGTAGCTCCAGGGCCCTCCTCCTGTGACTCACCTGGAGAGAGCACCTGAGTCTGAAGGTGTCCTCCCCCTCTGATAGTACAGACTAACCCTCTGCCTCATTTCTTTCCTCTGGTGGGTTTTACTGGCCCCGTCCTTCTCAGTACAGCCCTAACCTGAAGTCCTTCAGAGAACCAAGCGTAAAAAAAAAAGGAAGCAATCGTAATAATTTTCAAACTTGCCTTTCTGCAAAGTAAGATTGTTTACATTCAAATCCCTCTATTTTTACTGTTGCCATCTTTTTTTTTTTAAATTTGTTAATTTTAAAATCACCCTTCATTTCATACGTGTTTTGTTCAGTCATTAAATGTGAATTTAATTGGTTGTTAAGGGAGTTTTCTAAGTTTATTGCTTGTTTAGATCATATTCAGAAAGTGAAAGCTGAATTGAATGGGGTAGGATTTTCAAATACCTACTTCCATTAACCTTGGCCTAGGTATCTGGTGAGGGCTTTGTCAGCAATTCACAGTGTCAAGACCTGGATTTCTCAGGGAGAGTTCTGGAGTTGCCTCAAAATTTCTAATACCCTAGGCAAGTCATCAGCTGTATTAGCGAGGTACAAGTTTATATCCTTTAAATTTAATTCCAAGTGGTTCTTTATGAGAAAAAAGCAAACTAGTGAAAAAAGATGGGCCTGGTAATATTTTCCTAAGTTTAGATTTAAAACCCATCGATAGCTTCTAATGTCAAAGCGTCTTATCCAATTCCCATTCTCAATACAGTAAGAGCAAGGATAAACATTATTTCCCTAAAAGGTCATGGAAGCGCCATAGACACATCCAAACTCCCTGA